CGAGAGTTCAATCATCAAACTTTTTTTGTTCATAACTTTTTTATAAACAATGAGCGACGGATAAAACCTTCATATTATTATTCAGAGAGGTGACCTTGATAACATATGTCAAAATTGTTGAGATCGGAAAATAGTCCGTATAACTGCATAATTACCAAATCTTCACTTCAAGTCAAACCCCAGAATCGTGTCTCGCGGGCTACTATCCTTAAGAGGCGCAATCGCAGAAACCGAGAAAGCGAAGAGCCTCTGCCACATGAGCAAACCAGAGCGAACCAACACTTTTCTATATGACGATAATTTAAATAGCGACGATGCTCACTTAGATAAGGATAAAATTTTTAGATAAGGATAAAATTTACGAAAATATTACTAGAGATAGTGACACTAATAATGAACAAACTGAATTTAGATACAATAATAACATCCACATACACTCAGATATACAGCGAACTCCGTCATCTCCTCGGTTACCCTTCTCCGACTCTATCTCCTTATCATGAACTTTCTTATTTATCAGTAACACCCGATGAAATTCCCGAATTCCAATTTGCTTCTACTTCACCTCGAAACTATTTTTTTACTCTTTTTCTCGAATCTTCCGAACCTGAAATATCTTACGACGAAGATGAGGAGTCTTCGATTGGGTTAGTACATTTTATATCATTAGTCGACATCTTTCCCATTGCTGACTCGCCTCCTACTCAACATGATATAATTCTTAGGTAAGAAATGTTGAATGAATTTGTAAGAAATTTTCTGAATTACTAAGCACGCAATAGCTAATCTCCCGGATGACTATAGCATTTTAGTAAAATTTCCCGGATTTCCTCAAGTACGCAAAGTTCCGGTCTCTTATTTTTATACATTCTATCCCCCTCCTTTTGCAATCATTAGAAAAATTATAAAAATTTCCTTAAGTGACTGAGTTCGCCACACACACACATTCACACTATTTGTAGTAGCATTGGAATATTTTTGATAAAAATCTAAATATTATTTTGCTGAAATAAAATGTTTTATATGCTTGTAAAAATAAAAACGGTTTCAATTAATTAAACTGGTTAAAATTAATTACAACTTTCTCTCTCTACAATACATCCATTCCTGTAATATCATTAAGCGATCGGATTTATATGACCAATTTTGCATATCAAGTAAAAATGTAGTTTCTGTAATAACAGTCTATAAACTTTTTTTTGTTTTTTTTTTTAATTTTTATGCTTTATCTCATTCTTTACTATATTGTCTTTATTTCTGAAGAAGCATTTTTTATTCCGATTCATAGTTTTTACAAAAAGTTAAAAATACGACATACTCTTCTGATTTGTGTTTTAAAATATCTGCGAGCTCTTTTCATCTTCCAAAAAATATTATATATATAGCCAGAAAACACAAAATATAACTGCTACATAACATAAGTAGGAAGTAACATATAATGTAACAGTTGTTATACTGATTTATATTGGGATTATATAGTTTTTCTTATTTATGCAATGTACCTCTGTATAATGAAATAATTATATAATTCGTTACTTACTGGCAATAACTAGATAACAATAATGTACATGTAACGTAACACGTTATATGACAAATTTTATGTCTGTGTTACTGTAATGTGACAATTTATATGGATGTGATCGAGTGATTTATTGGTGAATAGAATTTGAAGATTCTATATAAAAAAAGATATGTATGGTTGTGAAAATATATATTGATAAAAAAAAGATATGATACTTTTAGTACAAACTAGTATAGAAAGTGAAGTGAAAAAAAAACAGTCTCGGTTCCATATTGTCTGGTCAATGCGGAACCAAGCGTCTTGGTCAAAGCCCAATAGACATTTAAGACGAATAAAATATTTCGTTTGTATCTCATATTATCGTAACGTGTGGGCAGGCACTTCCTCCCCGTGAAAATCTAACTTAACTAATCTATTCTATATAATGTCACTGCGATACAGTAGCGTAAAGTAAAAAGTACGCTAAAAAAACTCTTTCGGACTTTGACAAGCAAGACGCTTGGTTGTTTCGCGCATTGACCAGTCAATCCTAGGAACACGCTTTAGGCTGTGACCATTTTTTAAATAGTTATATTACTATTTTATAACAAATAAAAAGAATAATTATATAACAACTTCATTAACAATTAATTAATTTATATCGCAGTTATATACCATTTTAGTAATCTATATAATTGTTATATAACCTTTCAGTGACTACTGCAACAGTAATATAACATTTTAGTAACATGTTATAGTCAGATTATATAACTGCAATTTGGTATGAGCGAGAAATTACAACTAACGTGAATGTTACATGTAACAAACACGTTATATTACTTGTTACTTTCCGTTTCATTATAGCAATATTACGTTTATGTATCTGTGTTTGCTGGGTACATATATATATCTAAGTATATATATATATATATATATTTATTTATTTATTATATATATTTGTATATGTATATTCACATATTATATATATATTGTGACGTGACACTTTTTCGTGTCCGTCACAAGGATGTATTTCCGGCCGGCACAAAAGACGGTGAGTTCGCGTTTCCCATTATTTAAGGGAGGGAGCAGCTTAGGCGCTTAGGCGCGTAGCGCAGGCGTATGCGCTTACGTTTGTAGGGGCGCATTGAGCCTATGTTGTTTAGCGTGGATATTTGATAATAAAGAGATATAATAAAGAGAAACTTTTATTAATGTTCTTAATTTTCAGCACATCTCGCATTGTTGCAATTTCGTCACACTGTTATATTATTTCGTACCGCGCGAGCCGCTTAGCGGCTATTTTGTAATTTATTTTCAGTGCAAAGAGAGAACAACACACTGTACGTAACCGTTAAATTGGGAAGAGAGAAGAAGAGAGAAGGTAGAGACAGAAAACAGCACAGGGGCGTAACGCGTCATAGACACAGAACACTCGACGATAATTTCGACGGCGGGCTTAAAATGACGAGATGCATGCACTTTGACTTCGCAAAATCCGAATTGGAGCTTTCTGTGGAACGACGCGTTCCGTAATGCGGAGGGATGGGCCTCAGTAAGCTCATCTCATCGAATAATCGACGCAGAGCGAGCATCTGATACGGCAAGAAAAGGCGACTCGCTATTATGCCGAAGCATACGTGGCTGCCACGTGCATCAATCACCGCGCCGCGGGAGAAAGCATATGATTAGCCCAGCAATCTAGCGCGAAGAACAGCGCTCAGACAAAAGAGTAATTGCCAAACGAAGTGAGCTCATTGTTGCGCGTACCGTGATCCACACAAGTTCCTCGCCTCCGAGCAGTTCCCAGTGCGAAGTGAATGCCGAACAGGGGAGGACTTGAGCGATATCCTTACGAGGATATTCCCGCAAAAAAGAAAAACCGATTTTCCTTGTCGACTAACTGCAAGAAGAGGACCGACGAACGTAAGTAACTGTTGCTCTCTCTCGCATATTTCGTGATTTATATTCTTGGTGGATCGAATTTCGACGGGCTACCCCGCGAGTCCGATACCGATAATAATTGTTATAATCTCGAAAAAATGTTGCGTTGTGTTTAGCGTTCGACAATTGTACGAACTATTCGCGTTTATTTGCTGCTGCTCTCATGTTCTGATATGGTCGCAACAATCCAGGCTTTATCGCAGTTCGTTACGTGTAAGCGTCAAGGGCCTTCTACAATGAAATATTAGTAATAAATCAGAAGCAAGTAATTGACTAATCACAATCGATTATTCTTCTGTGATTTGTCAATTTCTTGCTACTGACTTCTGATTTATTACTAATATCTCATTGTAGAAGGCCCTTTACATGTTTATATTTTTTTATGTAGTTTGGTATGTTGCGATTTCATATGTTCCTTGTGTTCATCATAGCGAGCGGGCAAACTCTATCAATATTAATTATTGCCGTTAAATTGTAGCCGACGAGCTGTGATCGTGTGTCGTCGAAATCTGATAAGTAAAACCGTGCGATTAGAGTTTGAAGTGCCAAAAATTAAAAAGGTACGCGGGGAGGTCTACAACAAATACTTTGTCGAGGCCGAGCATCTATTGTATAAACGCTCGGATATTTACTTTGCCGCTACGTACTATTTATTGTCCGCCACTGCCGTGTACACGTTCGAACAACTTTTCCGCCGCGACTGCACATCTATTGTCCAACTCATCATCCGCCGTGCGCCCGCATTAACGCACTTCTGCGTAACTGTATCATCTCGCGGTCATTCTCGCGCGACAATCTTAGGGCGAATCGACTCACGATCGCGAGAAACAGACGTAAAGAAATTAACACACGAATAATTTGAAGATCTTGTGCTCGAATATTAATATTTGTCGGTCTAAGCTCGCGACAAGTAAGTGCCGTCCCGATATTACTGGCGAGCGCTCTGCCAGAAAGGAACCGTAATTTATCTAATAAATTTTACTTTGAACAGTCCAGCTGATCAAGTTTCTCTACTTGACATAATAGTAGAGAAACTTGATCAGCTGTTCAAAAAACAATCCGCCTCCTGAGCCCATGCTTTTCCGTATTACAGTTAAACTGAGCTGTCAAGTACTATTGCCCTCGCGTCTAATTATTTAGCGAGCAAAATTCTTGAGAGTAGAGAGTAACGCCGATACTTCGGCGTGAGCATTCACACTTGGCGCCCAACTTCAAGATTTGGTGAGTAACATTTTAAAATATGCTTGAAAAGAAAGTGTGCCGAAGGTGCGCTGCACCTTTGCAATAAAAAGCGAGGTGCGCGTTAAAATATATATATATATATATATATATATATATTTATTTATTTATTTTATATACAATGTGTGATTACTCTTGTGTTTTATATAATGTTCTCTATACCTATAAGCAATTCTCAGTATATTATTTACAAAATATTAAACACTTTATTCGATAAAACTGTTGAAAATGTTATATTTATATTGTACATAAAGTTATTAATGATAGTATAACTTTATGTTGCTTTATCAAATTGAGAAGAGTTGTTTTTCCAGTATATTATGAGCTAACAAGTACCAGTATGATCAAACTGCGTTAGAATAATTGTTTTAAAAAGTCAAGCGTATATTATGAGAGTAAGCTATTGTTGTCGGAACACATAAAAATATGGTTTTTTGCATACCGCCGTTTGATTGTATGTCACATGCAAATAGTTTTGTATGTAGATACAAAATAGCGTATCTTGCTATTGCATACCTTATTCTGGTAGAGTACATAATTACTCCGGCAACAATATCAAAACCAAAGTTCTTGCACGAAACACTTCATAGTGAAAAAGTTAAGGTAACGCCACCGATCTATGCGCACGTAATTGCGGAATTTGTGATAAATTGTTTGCAAAATTCTTACTCAACTTGGAATTTAATTTGTGACTGCACGTGGCATAGTCAGCAACAAAGTCGCTTACTCGCTGTGATTAACAACAATTTAATCATATAAAATCTTCTTTTTTATAAAACATAAAATATGATGTAAAAAACTGAAAATAGTACAAAATTATTATGAGTTTCATATGATATTATTATATGAGAGTTAAAGATATTAATTATTAATTTCTTTTTAAATGCATGTTACTGTCTAATTGTTACACCTTATAGTTTAGTAATTGTTTACAAACAAACTTGGATCTTCCAGATCCATTCAAAACACACAATAATTCTACGTAGAGAAAAGTAAATGCTATTTGACGCGTCTAACCATTACAACAGTTTTAAATGTCATTATTTTTTATACATAGTATTATTTATAAAAAACCTTTAAACTCTGAAATTTCTAAATTAGAAATATTTGTTTGAACGATTTGATACAAGCGTTTCTACACATTATTTAGTAAAGTTATTTTTAAAAACTAAAATTGAAGATTAATAGTCTCCTTGAAATGTTTATTTAGGGACCTATATTTGATATATACATTAACGTTAACAACAAAAGAAGCAAATATGGACTGCAAAAAACAATCTACTTCGTGTACCACAAACAAAGAAATTGTTATCTCTGGCATTGCTGGACGATTTCCTAATTCTGATAATATAAAACAACTTCAGAATAATCTTTTCAATGAAATCGATCTCGCTTCGAACGATCATCAAAGATGGAACACTGGTAAGATATTTTTTGTTGAGTGTGGGTGTGTGTGTGAGAAAGAGAAGAACTGAGTGATTGGCTAATTACTGCATAATTCCTTCACATTTCTATTCATTAGCATAAAACGTAAACTTTACACATTTCACGTTCTTATCGAGTAGCTGATCGATGGCGGCGTTTACTCTCGCTAAAATAAAGTACTGAAAGCCTCGTACGTTTATTGTAAGCCAATAAAACATTCGTAAATATAAACTTTTCTGAAAAACTTCAAACAATCTTAAATGTAAAATGCGATATATAGCTGTATTTGGCATTAGAAATCGGAAACTGAAAACAAAACGACAAATAGATCTACTCGATTACTTGCAGTTACACAAGTACACAAATTTCTGAGCTAAAAATGCACTTCAAATTTTTACAGTATATAAAAAGCGATCTATGAGATATTTGATTCGAAATTTAGCGCAAAGTAACTATATTGATGGAAAGTTTTTGAATTTTTCCAGTTGAGTTTGACATGCCCTCTAGACTCGGCAAGATCAATAACATAGAGAAGTTCGACGCACAATATTTCGACATTTCTATGTTTGAAGCTCAAGTATCAGATCCTCTGACTAGAATGTTACTGGAACACACGTACGAAGCAATTATTGATGCTGGACTTAATCCTGAAGAGTTACATGGAACAAATACTGGAGTATTTGTAGGAGCTTGTTTCGCCTCGACGTGGAATGCACTTGTGTATAATAAACCTCAGGTACAAAACTTGTTTGATATGATAACTTACGATAAATATTATAGTATTTCGGTTTTTACTTAAAATTTACTCAATAAAATCATAGAGAGAATTGATAACACATATTTCATTGTGTTTTCTTACGACACTTTTGTGCGCTATCACTTCCATTGTGATAGAATGTAGGAGCTATATTAAAAACTCAATTTTGATTTGAGTTTATGCTATATATATATACCCAACTTTTTAATTCTGCCGTTAATCTACATCTACAATTTGTGAAAAAAGTGATTTTTGTTTCATATCTATGTGTGCATATGTAATTATAATTCAGGCTTGGAATTGTTCGCACAAAATTCCTGATAGGCACACTTGCTGCTTTTTCTTTACTGCTCGTATCAATAATTCTGTCTCACTGTTGATGAAAAGCGCGCTAAAATAAAAGCGCTGTTGCGTCTTGAAACGGTAACCGTCGTTGAAGTGTGTACAAGCGAGTAAAGAAAACCGAAAAGGCGTCATTCTTAAAACTTTGGATGAAGATGCAAATTATGAGTACTAAATTATAACCACTTATTAGCAATATCAAAAAATGGAACTGGCCCACTGGTCTCGCGGTCTGAGTACAGGGGCTACAAACATGAGAGTCCCGAGTTCGAATCCGCTTATCACCTTAGGATGTTTTTTGGGCCGTCCCTTTCAATCGAGTTAATCAAGTGATTAACAAGTGATTATCAAGTGATTAGCAAACTGAATTCAGCCTTCAAAACATTAAGTCGAGTGAAATCTCGAATTAATTTCTTTCCCACAAGGCGATATCAAGAGAGGGTCTTGGAGCGTACTATATATTATATCGTGATTAGGTACTGTTACCGATAGTGACATCAATCATAAAACGTCGTTAGAGAAACAAGTACATATATAAAAAGAAGTTATAGTAGATTTAAACGTATTAGACGGTGTTTGTATAGTTTTGGCTTCTAAATCGTAGTCTAATAGTCTCATTACATTCTTGAATGTTATGTCTATCTCGGACACTAATTTGGTTTTTATGCATAACTCTTAAACTGTAAATGCCAATACAATAAA